AAAAAAAAAAAAAAAAAAACAAAACGCGCACACACATAGGCAACAGCAACAACAAAACAAGGGGGGGGCCATCAATTGGGGAATGTCTGAACTGAATATGACTTTAATGCACATTTTTATGCTATAAGAAATGACCAATGAGGAATTCAGAGAAACATAGGGAAATCTATATGAACTGGTATATCACAATAATGTAAAGGAAAAGAACACTAAAGCAAAACCTGAACATTCTTAATTGTGATAACCATTCTTGGCCCTGGAGAAGCCACTGAAGCGGAAAGGCTAAGGGTGTGGGATGGTGCATACACTACAGTCAGTAAATCTTGCTTAACTTCTTATGTTACAATGGAATGGGGCAGACGGGGTAGGAAAGGAGTATATATCTAGCAATGACTATGATGTAAAAACTAAAGGGATCAAAAAAAATTTTTTTAAAGCCTGTGAACAGACTGAATAACCACAACCATCCCTTCTCAGACTGTGATGGTAGGCAATACCAAGCCTACTCTAATGTTCAATGACATCCCAGCTATTCTTAAGTCATATTTCTCAGTGAAGAATACACTATGTACCTGGATGTCGACTTTATTTGTTTTTAAGACAATTAGAAAGTGACACCAATTAAATAGTAGCTTCAAGGTATAGTCTTCTTTATTTGTATGTTGGCATGGAATATACCCCACTTCTCTCCAAATGAAACAGAGCTTTCTGTTTTGAATCACTGTCCATAAGGAAACACTAATGATTTCAGAAGAGAAAGGGAGATGGGCAATCTGGCTAATTCTACTGATCCATTAAAGACCTTATCAACATCAAGAATAAGACTTTTTGGACACCATATATAGCTTAAGTTAAGGCTTATATAGCACTTCATAATATATCCTCTCATTTGAGCTTCACAAGAGCCCAGGGAGGTTAAGTACTGCAGGTATTATTCCCATTTTATAGATGAGGAAGTTGAGGTTCAGGAAGGGGAAGTGACTTATCCATAGTTACACAATTAATGTCAGAGGCAAGATGTGAATCCAGGACTTCATAGGCTCCAAAACCCAGCTCACTTCCCCTAAGTCACATGTTGTTAATGCTTGTGTGGAGTCAGTGGTGTCATTTTCACATGTGAATGGGATAGCACCATTAAGTGGTTGGCAATGCCATCTGGGCTAACATACTGTCCGTATTCAGTGGTAAATTCAAGTACAGCCCAGCAGCATGTAAGGAATGAGGAAGAGCCTTGTAAGTGAGGAGGCAAATCACTTCCCCTCTCTATGACTCAGTTTTCTCATTTGTAAAATAGGGAGAACAAAAGCATTTTGCAAGTTTTGTTTTCACCACAACCTTGTGAGGTAGGTAGGTAGTGCAAAAGTTGAATAATGTACAGAGAGCACATTACTGACAGAGCAGTTTGCTAGCCAGAAGAGCATTCATTAACAATCATTCTACTGAGCTATTTTTCCTTATATGAAGATGATACATAACAGCATAAGCAATATGTGCTTTGAGGCTGCCTGGCTAGCTCAGTGCAAACCTCTCTTCTAAGGTCCCCCCATGGCACGCATGCCTTAGTAAGATGGGTGCTCCAAGATAAGATGCATCTGCAGCCACTCAACAGAGTAGCTAGCTAATCTACAAATGGTTCACAGGATCCTAGACCTAAAGCCCAGAAAGGTCCTTGGAAGGCACCTAGTTCAAGCCCTTCATTTTACAGATGGCCAAACTGAGGCCCAGGGAGAGGAAGTAAATTATCCAAGGTCACCCAGGCCACTGCTTGTTGCACAGCTGAGATCTGAACTCAGGCCCAGAAACTCAGTGCTGGTGCCACTGAACTATACTACCTCTCTATTACACCCTGCTCTAACCAAGTCACGTGCTGCTTTCTATTGCTACTGTTCTAAGAGTTACCAGCCTCCTGGACACACAGGGTTCTGTTAACCACATTTGCTTGAGATCATTCCGACCACACATGGGCTTTGACCAAGCCTTCAGCAGAGTGCCTCAAACATGCCTCAGGCATGCAGTGACCAGCTGAGCATAAAGGTCCACACAGACAGGCCTCAGTGGGGAATTTAAAGCCCTGCATAGGCAGACTCCAACCTACCTGCCTTCCAGACTTATTCCACATTATTCCCCTTCACAAACTTGACAACTGGTAGTTCCCCGACCTGTCCATGCCTTTAAGGGGCTGCCTTTAGCACCCGGGACATATTCTCCTCTCAAATCCTTGGCTTCCTTCAAGGCTCAGCTCAGGGACCCCCCTGCAAGGGCTCCCAGCTCACTATGTGTGTGAATATTGCAGCTCCCAGATACAGGAGCTTAGTTCCTCGTGGGCAGACTGGTTGGGGGTTTTTGGGTTTTGTCTTGCATCCCCCCCAGTTGCCTGCCTCCTACAAATGTACTATAAGTGCTTAAGAAATGCCTGTGGAATAAATGAATGAATTCTAGTCTTAAAAGGCTAATGACTGAGAAAGAGACCCCACCAATGGTAAGAAGCGGTGAGCAGCTGGAGTCACTGGCAGCAAACCCAAATCTCAGCAAAGATCAACAAAGCTTGAACTTGATTGATTTCAAGTTCTGTGCTCATTCTCCACACCGCAAATAAGGAATCCTTGTGTATGCAAATTCCCATTATCTGAAGTTGTAATTATATAAAATAGGTTAACTGGTTCTAGGCCAATGGGAATGTGCCTTGTGAATCTGAATAATGCTATCACCACTTTAAGGGATTTGCACTAATTAGGACCTGCCTATAAAGGCTGGCAACCTGTTTCAAGCAGCTGGTAGTCAAACTGACAGAGACAAGAGATTCAGAGGGCTATCTGTAAGCGTATCATGTATTTTGCTAGTTTCGAATCCTGCCTCTGAAGGTGTGTGGGCAAGTCCCTTTTCCTCCCTGGGCCTCAGTTTCCTCCTCTGTAAAATGAGAGGGCTGGACTCAATGGCCTCGAGGGCCCCTTCCTGCTCTAACTCTAGGATCTTACTGGCACTTAAATGTCTTTCACGGCAATCTAAAACACTGAGGAAAGGATGACATTGGTAAACAGAAAGGACAGGAGCAAATGGGGGGGAGGAGTGCCACAATGAGTTTGAGTTCTCTTCATGTTACTTTAATGGAAAGGTGGAAAAGAAACCAAATGTTGAAAATATGAATGGCTTTGAAGGAATCCTGAATTAACTTTGTAATCACCTGGGTTTTGTAGTGCCTGGTTCTATTTCTCCATTAAAAATGTAAGCAACACTTCCGAATGTATTACTAATGAGTAATCCAGGGAGGAAATGAAGTGCTCTTAATCTGTGAAGCTTTCAATCTCTGGTAAATTCTATTCAATTCCTTAGGTTCTTGGCTTTAACACAATAACACAACATGATTTCTTCCTTGCTTAGTATTTTAATCCTAAGAATCAAAACTGTTCTGCAAATCAGCAGCATAATAACCAGGTTTGGGGAAACAAGCCTACCCATCCCCCACTGACAAGAGTATAACCATGTTTAGGTAATTCTAACAGCTGTTGATGCTGATCTGAAAATCAAATCCCTAGCCTATCATAAGAAAGGTATATATGGAGCCCCGAGTTAGGGAGGGATGTTAGGCACTTACTATGTGTCAGGCACTGTGCTAAACACTTTACAAATATTATCTCATTTAATACACATGACTACCTAGGGAGACAGATGCTACTATAGTCCCCATTATTCAGTTGAGGAAACTGAGGCAGAGGTTAAGTGACTTGCCCAAAATCACAAAGCTAATAAATGTCTGAAGTTGGATTTGAACTCTAGTCTTCTTGACTCCAGGCCTAGTACTCTGTCCACTCACGGTACTATCTAGCCATGGCTGGTGGCTTCACATCTCCCTTCTTACTGGGATCCCTACCTGAAGGAATTTCTGGCTTCCCATACAGCAACAGACCAGTGAAGGGGAAGACATCTGAATAAAAATCATATGCCATACTATTTTCACTTTGTTTTGGAAAGTCATGGAAAACATGGCTTTTTTTCCCCCTCTTATTTTTCTTCTTATTCTATTTCTTCTTTTACAACATGACTAATGTGAAAATATGTTTTACGTGATTGTACATGTATAACCTATATCAGATTGCTTGCCATCTTGGGGAGGGGGGGAGGAAGAAAAATTTGGAAAATGCAAAGTCTTTCAAAAAAAAAAAAAAACAATGTTGAAAATTGTCTTTGCAAAAAATTGGGGGAAAATACTATTGAATAAAAAAAAAAAATAAAGTCATATGCCACATATGCAATGCCTCTCCAAGGAAAAGATAGTCAGTGATAATTTAGGGAGAGAAAAGATCTAGGTAACACAGGGGATAGAGTGAGCACTGGATTTGGAGCTGTGATCTGACCTCAGACACTGATGGTGTCTGAGACATAGCGGTGGGATACTGGGCAAGTCACTTCTCTCTGGGCTTCAGTTTCCTCAGTTGTAAAATGAGGGATTTGACTGAATGACCTTTAAGGTCTCTTGTAGGCCTAGGATACCATAAGCACAAGATAGCACATAGACCTCCCCCACCCACCCACCCAGAACGGGTCCATTCAGAGATGGCCACAGAGTAGGCAGAACACTAATCCTACCTCTTAGCTCCACCAGCATCAGGGGATACAATACAGCAGGTCTTCCAGTCGGCAATGTTCTCTCTTATCCACTTCAGAACAGCTGGCTCAGCATATAGATTATCCACTGGGATATCAAAAAACCCCTGCGGGAAGGAACTCTGTTAATCTCTTGGTTTCCCCCACCCCACCCCGGGCTCCCAGCATTGTAAATATTGTAAATAAGAGCTCCTGCTTCTGAAGCACCTTCTCCAAAACAACCCTGTGAGGCAGGCAGTGTTATTACCCCAAGCTTCCATCTGGAGAGGCAGAGGCCCATGTGCAGCAACACTGTCCACCTAGAAAGTACTGTGGCCAAGATTCAAACCAAGTTTGTGGGAACACAATCCCCGTGTTCTTTTCATTTAGTTTCAAGACATTAGGTCTCCTGTTCTTCCGAAGTATCCCACACTTGCTTCTCCTGGTTGTCGCTTCCCAGAGTATTTATTAACACCAACCTCCCCACCCCCAACCTCCCATGGTTTGTTTCTCTTTTATACCTGAATCTGAGAGGCATGAAGGTCCATGGTGATTATATGATCTGCTCCTGCTACAGACAGCATATTTGCCACAAGCTTGGCCGAGATTGGGGCTCGGCTCTAAATGGGAGAGAGTAAGGGTCACTGACAAATAGTTCAAAGTTATGAAGCTGACAAAGTGGGTTTACTTCCTATCTCAGTAAAAAGAAAAAAGTTTTCCAGTCTCTTGGCCTGTTTATCAAAGGCAAAAGAGGAAAGTCTGATGTGTGGCTACCAGCCTGCATTTAATTTTTTTTTTTTAAAGACCACCTAGTGTTAAAAATTTTTCAATCAACATTGCTATTTATTTGCAAAATAAAAGCAGCCCCATCTACCCCCACCCCAAAAAAGTCCCCAAACTACAATACACTGAAGTTTAAGAGATAGCAGATATAATTATGAAGTTTACAGAAACAAAGGATCAAATGAAGACTTTTTAGTCCTTTGGAAGAGCTTATCATGTAGATGCTCCCTTCAATACCAAGATGCAGACCAAGGCTCATGCACTCTGTGTCAGCCCATCCTGTGGGCATTCTCTTGATATCGTATGAATACCAACAGCAGGCAGGCTGTCTATTGGGCATTTTCCATTCTTGCTATGTGACCAACTCATCATTTTTTAGATGACATCCTTTATTTTGCTTCTTCTGTGTAATTACTCATTTTTAACGTGTTATGATGAAAAGAAGGCAAAACAAGAGATCCGACTAAGTCAGTTACCTCAAGGGCATTTAAGGATGAAAATGGAAGAGATGCATGCCCCTGCCAAAAAAAAAAAAATATCCCAGAAGGAAAATGGAAAAGATCTATATATAAAGATTACTATAACAAACTGTTTTCCCCATCAAGGGCAGTGAAACCACCATACTCCGACCTTATGCCAGAGTTTCCAATGTGCTTAAAGAGGAGAGAGAAACAGCACTGAAGAGAAAGAATAAAGACAGGAAAAGCAGCCAAAGTGGACCAAGTGTATACCCTTTCTAGGGGACATACAATTGAGGTTGTTGAGGGATTGATAAGCAAGGTATGTGAAGGATGGAAAGATAGTAAAGTTAAAAAAATTCAAACTTATTAATAGGCAAACAAAACAAAACAAAGATCATTGAGAAAGCAACTACAGAGCTCGATGCCTTCTCTCCCCACCTATATAAGATCTTTGACAATCATCAATGTACAGATTGAAGGAATCCTTAATGAGAATCAGTAGGGAAAAAGCAGGCTTTCCTAAGTAATATTCAACAATGGACTATATCTTTATCATTCTGCAACTGACTCAGATGTAGAGGACTTACGATCCTGTGGTATTTACTGTTTATAGACATATTTTTTTTTTAATTTGGTATAGCAAAATGTCACCTTAAAGCCTCTTTTTCCAAAAAATGCTTCTCCCATCCATATATCAAAATCATTCAAGATTCCTTGAAAGATATGCTAGAAATAACCCTGTTATTCAATGACCACTGTGATGGAGACCATGAGGATGGAGTCCAAGTGGAAGAGAATGGATTTTCTGTGGTCTTTCACATGTTCTGTTTGCAGATGACATTTGTGCTGCAAGCCCTGGAATACTTCAGTCTCTGCAAGCAGTCAAAAGTTCAGCCTGACCATCCATGCAGGAAAGACCAAGTGGATGAGGAATATCTATTACCCAGATTATGACATGCATTTGGATGAAAAACCTATAGAGTTTGTCTATGAATGTGTAGACCTGGACCTAGAGTTGGGCCCAGGGTTGAACAGGAGGAGGGGAGTGGACTTGACTAACTTTGGAATATTACAAAGCTTTTGTTTTGTTTTGTTTTTGGCTAGGCAATGGGGTTAAGTGACTTGCCCAGGGTCACACAGCTTTTAAGTGTTATGTGTCTGAGGCCAGATTTGAACTCAGGTCCTCCTGACTCCAGGGCCGGTGCTCTATCCACTGCACCACCTAGCTGCTCCACAAAGCTCTTTTAATGATCCTTAAGCTTCCTATGGAAGCAAAGTCCCTCAACTCCTTTATTTGCCTCTCCAATGAGAGCCTGTGAGCCTGCCTTCCACTTAGTTTTGACTTCTTTTTGTCACCTCTTTCCACTTATGGGACAGATGCAAATAGGTATGACTGTTTCTCTAGTAGTATATACCTGATGGTCACCGTACAAAAAGCTTACAAAAAGAGCTGATGGTCTAAAAAAGTTCAGGGATTCTTTGGTCTCTCTTGCCCAATTTCTGCCACCATCGCTAAAGAGAAGCACAGGGGGCTAAGCTGGCTAGACTGGTACCACTTGGTCTTTTTTTGTTTGTTTCCCAGGTTGCTATGGTCAATTCACCACCAGGTGGCCAGTCTGCTGGCAATAAGGCTTTTAGCATTTCTGCATTTAGCTAGGCTGGCTCTAGAATCTGCCAGAGTTTCTTCTTTGCTAGCATTACCCTCAAGAACTCACCTGGATGACGCATGGGAGAAACAGGATAGCAAATACCACTTCCAAATTCTCCTCCTTGTTTTTCTACTCTCATAATCAGTATTATTCTGCCCTAAGAGGTTTCTGACCCTGATATCCCATCACCTTGGATGCTGTCTAAGAATGTAAGACCTAGCAGGTCCTATCAAGCTGGAGAGCTTCCAGGAAGGACCTAGTGAGGCCTACTGGTCAAAAGATCAGTCTAGCCAAGTTCAGAGAGTACCACTACTAGTTAGCTGCAGTTTAAGCTAAAGCGCCAATCAAGACCACCTACTAAGTTTACAGAGACGCTCCAATTTGAATGGTGGTGGTGGTGGTGGTGGGGAGGTGCAGCACAGGGATTAGGGCTAGCCAATCCCTAGCCCCCCATGAATTATATTATAAACCCTTGATCAATGTAGGGACAGGTAGGTGGCATAGTGGATAGAGTACTGGCCCTGAAGTCAGGAGGACCCGAGTTCAAATCTGGCCTCAGACCAAACACTTGACACTAGCTGTGTGACCATGGGCAAGTCATTTAACTAGTTACCTAAAAAAAAAAAAAAAAAAAGTGATCAATGCATGCATTAGATCATGTGTTCACTTAATGCCTTTTTCATATAAATATTTTTAACACCTCTATGCAGTCCAATGCTTTGTGGTTACATCACACTTGCACAGCATAATTTGCTTATTTTCCTCCAACGTTAGACATTTGGGTTGTTTGCATTTTCTTTTTCTTTTCTTTCTTTTTTTGCTATCATAAAAATAGAACTGCTATAAACATCTTGAAACAAATCATTTTGTTTTTCCTTTTGGGTTAATTTCCTTGGGGTACATTACCCAAAGTGCGATTCCTGGGTCAAAGGGTAAGAATGTCCGATAGCTCACTACTCTCCCAAAAGACTCAACCCATGAACATTTAGTGGCACCAGCAATGTGCATAGTGATAATGTATCCATTTTTTCCAGAGCCTTGCCAACAAAAGATTTTCTAGTTTACTTTTGTTAGTTTAATATATGCATAATGATACCTTGAGTTTCTCTCCATTTTCATTTCCTTAATTGCTAACAAGGCTATATACATATATGGAGGCCATCTTTTGTTTTTAAATACCAGTTATTTCCAGCCATACAGCTCCCCACCCCCACAAGTATCAGGCTCCTAACAAAGACAGTTAGTGTGACTTGGGGGACAGGGAGCCAGTCTCAGGCAGAAGGCTCAGTCATGACTGTGACACATCAACGGTGGGGTGACCTGGCTAAGTCACTTAACATCTCCTGACCCAGGCAATTCTCTAAGACTCAGCATCTGGGCCTCCAGAGACCAATCTCTCCACCCCTACCCCCAATCTACTCAGTTTTGGGACTCCGCCCTGGGGCTGAGCTGTCTGGATTAGAAGGACAATTCACCCCAACCCACTGAATCTAGCTGGCCCCACAGTATGCATCACATGCTCACGGGATCCTTCCATTCAATAACTCTTCAGCCCTTAAAAGAGGCGCCGTGGCCATCTCGAAGAGGTGCCTCCACTTTCTCTCCTCCCACTCAACATATTACAATCTGGCTTCTGACTTTTATCACCACTGAAACTGCTCCCTCCAAAGTCACCAATGAGCTCTTAGTTGCCAAATCCAGTGGGCTTTTCTCAATCCTCCTTCTCCTCGAGTTCACTGCAGCCTTTGGCACTGTGGATCAGTATCACTCTTTCTTGATTCTTTCTTCTCCCTAGGTTTTCAGGGCCCCACTCACTCCTGCTTCTCCTTCCTGTCTGATGGCTCCTTCTCTGTCTCCTTTGCTGGATTCTCTTCCAGGTCACACCCTCTAACTACAGATGTCTCTCAGGGTTCAGTCCTGGGCCCTCTTCTCTTCTCCCTCTAGACTACTTCACTTGATGACCTCATCAGCTCCCACGAATTTAATAACCATCTCTATGCTGATGATTCTCAAATCTACCTATCCTGCTCCAAACTCTCTACTGACCTCCAGTCTCCCATCTCCAACTGATGTCCAACTGATGTCCAACTGACACCTTAAACTCAACATGCCCCAAACAGATCTTGTTTTCTTTTCCCTTAAAAGTTCTTTCTCTTACTGAACCATCTTCTCAGTCCCTCAGACAGACTTGCAACCTAGGTGTCATCCCTGTTTCCTCTTCTTACTCCCCACATCCAATCTGTTGCCAAGACCTGTTAACCTTTGTGACATCTCTCACATAGGCCTCCCTTTCTCCTCTGACACTGCTACTGCTGTAGCAAAGAAGACCCTTATCACAGGAAGGGAGGAAGGTGAAGGGGAGAGGAAAGGGGTGGGGGAGAAAAAAGATATGGACTGTTCCAATAGCCTGCTGATGGGTGGGCCTGCCTCAAGTTTCTCCCCACTCTAATCCATTCTCCATTTAGCCACCAAAGTTATTTTCTTAAAGCACAAATTTGATCATGTCACCCCCCCCCCCAAATTAAACTAGTGGCTCCCTATGACCTCCAGGAGCAAATACAAAATTCTCTGTTCGGCATTCAAAGTCATTCATAATCTAATCCCCTCTTACCTTTTCAGTCTTCTTATACCTTCGTCCCCACCAAGTACTCTTGGATCTGGTGACACTGGCCTCCTGGCTGTTTCGTGAACAAGATTCCACTCTCAATGGTCCCTGGCTAAACTATGGCCATAGCCCACTGTTGTTCTCTGCCTTTAGTCTCTTCCCACTTCAACCCATCCTCAGCTCAGTTATCAAAGTGAACTTCCTAAAAAGCACAGGTCTGACTAGGTGCCTCCCACCCCAACCCCCATCCAATCAACTCCAGTGGTTCCAAATATAAAATCCACTGGTTTTTAAATTCCTTCATAACCTGGCCCCTCACTACCTTTCTAGTCTCCTTACATATGAATCCCCTCCATACTCTACAATCTAGTGACACTGTGCCTCCTCCCTACTTCTCACTCCATTCTCCTGACTCTGCCTTTTTGCTGGCTGTCTCCCATGCCTGGAATTCTCTCTTCCTCCTCTAGGTCCTAGCTCCTCTGACTTTCTTCAGGTCTCAGCTAAAGGCTCACATTTTGCAAGAAGTCATTTCCAGCCTTCCTGAGATTATCTCCCATTTATTCTGCATAAAGTTTGTTTGTAAGGAATTATTTGCATGCTGTCTCCCACATTAGACTGTGAGCTCCTTTGACAGAAGGGACTGTCTTGGGCCTGTCTTCTTATCTCCAATGTTTAGTACAGGGCCTGGCACATTGTTGGTAGTCAGTCGCAACCCAGTGGACTGTACTGTCCATGGGGTTTTCCTGGCAAAGATATTGGAGTGGTTTGCTATTTCCTTCTCCAGTAGATTAAGGCAAACAGAGGTTAAGTGACTTGCCATGGGTCACACAGCTAGTAAGTATATGAGGCTGGATTTGAACGCAAATCCTCCTAACTTCAGGACTGGCATTCTATCCCCTGAGCCACCTAGCTACCTCTAGTAGATACTATTGTTCAGTTGTGTGCAATTCCTTGTGACCTCATTTGGGGTTTTCTTGGCAGAGATACTGGAGTGGTTTGCCATTTCCTTCCCCAGCTCATTTTACAGATGAGGAACTGAGGCAAACAGGGTTAAGGGACTTGCCCAGGGTCACACAGCTAGTAAGTGTCTGAGGCCAGGATTTCAACTCGGGAAAATGAGTCTTCCTGATTCTGGGCCACCTAGCTTCCTCCAGCACACAGTAGGTGCTTAGTAAAAGCTTGTGGATAAGTTATAGAATAGTCAATGATGTGGACTGATAAAGGGAATTTCCTCACAGAAATTCCTCACCAGGAGCTAAAGAAATTACAGGTCCAGACCCTCTGAGGAGCAGATATGGTTTATCTCCCTCCAGTGACTTCCCTAAATGTCTGCTTCAATTAATTTTGGTAAACAAAATAGACAAAGCATTTATAATGTAGCTGAGAAATTAGTATGAAAAATAACCACTACTTAAAAATATATAAACATTCTAAACATGAAATCTATATTCATTGCTAAGCTACAGAGAATGCAAATTTAAGGTTATATAATTTTATATGAAATCATAATTTTGTGAAACATTTTGGAAACATTGATTAAATTGAAACTTTTTGGCTAGTGATTTACATGCTGATGAAACCAACATGACTCAGATTTAAATGCTTTGTGTCTTGGACCTCAAATTCTATTAATATAGGAAATTGCCAGCCTGGGAGTTTCTTTCATCACTACAGAAAGTGGCCTGGGGCACCGCAAAGTTAAATGACTTGCCAAAGGTCACACAGCCAGGATAAGTTAGAAGTGGGACTTGAATCTATGTCTTCCCCTCAAGGCTAGCTCTCTACCCATTCCACCTTAATCTAAAATGGAAGGTCACTAGTGACAAAGCTAAACTTCGGAAGTAACGTTTTAAAAATAAAAGAAAATACCACATTGGAGTCTGCTCCTACTTTGTCCTTTTTGTCCTGCCGGGCATAAGGGAAGCAAGGGATGACAGCAGTGACTCGGCTTGCTGAGGCGATCTTGCAGGCATTGATCATGATGAGAAGCTCCATCAGATTGTCATTGATTTCACCACAACCACTCTGCACAATGTAGACATCCTCTCCTCGGACGCTTTCACCAATTTCCACGCTACAGACGGAGCGGAGAAGTAGATTAACAATATTATGTCTATATTCCACCAAGGATTTCAAAGCACCTTAGGTATGCTGCACTATGTTTAGGATCTGCCATCAACTCATCACCACAGATGGATCGATCAATTTTATCTACAGCTAGCTCAAGCACTGGCAGGTAAATGGCTAAAATTTCATTGTTGGCACCTACTTTAAGTTTCATGTAGAAATATCTGACATAAATGTGGTTTGGTATATACATCAGCTATGGTTGATCCACACTGTACTTATATCTCAAGAGACATGGATGTGTAAATACAAAAGCAGACAGTCCCTGCCCTCAAGAATCACTGTACATGGATCTGACATTGTATCTTCGAAAGAAGGTCACAGGTCAGTTTTGTCTATGGCCACCAGTGTCAGTTTCCACACCTGGTACAGTAGAAAGAACATCTGGAATCCCAAGACCAAGGTTTGAATCCTGACTCTACTGCTTAATATCTAGGTGACTCCAAGCAAATTAGTTCCCTTCTCTAGGCCTCCAAGTCCCCTATCTGTTAAATGAAGGTGCTGGACTAGATCTCACATTCATTCCCAACCCCGTCTAGTCTCCAAATTTTCAGTAAACCTTCACATTCAAAAGGAAAGGAAATACATTTTTTTAAAAAAAAAATTTTTAAGGCAATTGGGGTTAAGTGACTTGCCCAGGGTCACACAGCTAGTTAAGTGTCAAGTGTTTGGTCTGAGGCTGGATTTGAACTCAGGTCCTCCTGACTTCAGGGCCGATGCTCTATCCACTGCGCCACCTAGCTGCCCCAAGGAAATACATTTTTGCATTTAGCTTGCATACATCCACAACCAAAGTGATGAATTTTTCTCCCCCAAGAGTTCACCAAAACTTTTGCACAACTTCATTTGGAGTTTCTACAATATTTCAAAAGGATAATATACTTATTTTCCGAATATTTCCAGAGCCCTCTTGACAAGCTTCTTGTACACTCCCAGTTGGGAACTCCTGAACTAGATAAATTCCAAAGTTTCTTCCAGGTCCAAATGCCCTGCACCCTACTCAAAGTTGTAAAGCCTATACTAAGTACCCAGTGATCGTTAAGGCTACATTTCCATTTCAATAAATGGAAAAGAGGAGGGCCCAGCCAGGCTATTTTGCTTAGGCAAAGTGAATTCCCGCATTAGAGTGGCAGCATTCAACTCTGTAACCCTCCAGAAGGGTCCTACACCATAGAGGGCCCATCTCTACAGTAACCAAGAACATTTACATTTGCCTCTGGCAAAAACAATTTGCTTACAATACTGGTAATAGTAAAAACCAATCGCCTCAAAGGTACATTAAATTGTTGTTGTTTTTTTGGGGGGGGAGGGAAAGATTTATGGGGTAGTCTATTAAACTTGACAGGCACTATTATTCAGCAACACGAACAATTCCTTCTCTTTATATCAAAATGGCAATATACTTTAAAATAAAAACACCTCATACCGGTTACTACCTTCAGCATGGGCTTTGATTTCCTATTACCCTATAATGGTCAGGATCATTACCTCCACCCACCCCTAAGCCACCAACGAGCGTCCCGTCCAGAAAACACTAATGGCCAAAAGCAGATAGACTTCTCTTGTTTTTCTTTCCTACCACCAATGAGCTATCAACTCTGACCTGGGCCCAGAAGCAGTTTGATAAGAGCCAGAGAATCTCCCATAGCTACCTAGCATGGGGTATGCACATGAGGGACTTTTTAAAAAAAAAAAAATCTATGTCCAAAAGGGACAAGGACATAATATTCCAGTAGTTGTGCTGCCGTCAACTGTCCTTTCCCCAGTCGTGTGGGCCCACTGACTACATTTTTAAGCTTAGGCAAAGTGGTTCAGAGATAAACCCCCCCCCCCCCATAGGACAGCCTGAAAGATAGCCATTAAACCTGACTGAAAATTTCCCTAAAACAATGTAATCTACAGCTGATATGGGCATATGCAAATGTACCTGTAACTATTTCCTTCAACTGGACTACAGTTAGTTACTCGGGAATTTCTAGGAAATCACTACCAACCCAGCACAAAAAGGCTGAGTGTGGACTAGATAAACTAAAATGGTTTGAACTACACTCAACCTGTGTCCCATACATTCTGCTTTTGTCGGGCATGTAAATATTCCATTTGATCCATAAGGGGATCCTACCCAGGCTTCAGCCCAGCCTACCACAAAGGACTAAAGAATTTTGGCCCTGAGACAGTAAAAGTACCATAAACAAAGTCTAATTAAGTTCCTGATACTGTATTCTTCATAAGGACCTAATGTGCTATTCACTGATAGACACTAGAATAGGTTGAGTGTGTTCCCCGAATAAAGCATTGCCTGATGACTGAAGGACAGGACCACGGGAGGCCACTGGAAGCAGCTGATTGCCCAGTGGATAGAATGCTAGCCTTGGAGTCAGGAAGACCAAGTTCAAAGCCACACTCAAGCATTTAACTCTCGAACCCTGGCCACGCCTCTTCGCCTCTGTTTGCCTTAGTTTCTTCAACTGTAAAATGAGGATAATAATAGCACCTAGCTCACAGGGCTGCTGGGAGGACAAAACGGGATGATATTTGTAAAGTGCTTAGTACAATGCAGGGCTACAGAAATACTGATGCCCTTCTCTTCCCAAGGTTTGCGTTAGCATTTGGCCACAATTAGCTACACAGTAAAGCTGCATCCAGAAGGAAGCAGTTCCTGAAAAATAAATGTTAGCATTCCTAGAGGGTCAAAAGAATACTGATGAGTCAAGGTAGATATCAGCCCCAAACTCCAAATCCTTTTAAAGGCCTGGTTATTGCTAACTGGCTGTTGAACTCCCATTACCAGCTAAGTATCATGCTCAAAGGGACACATACTATATGTGTGTGTGTGTATGTGTATGTATATGCATACATATAGTGTGTGTCTCTGTGTCTGTGTGTATCTACATATATACATACATGTATGTATGTAAATACACACAGACACAGAGACACACCACAGAGACGCAGTGACCTAGTATTTATCCATACACTTATTCCAATCTGCTAGGGCCTAAGAGAAGGAGAATTTTTTTGGGGGGGGGGGGAGGAATGGGACAGAGAGGGAAAAATAAAGATTATGTAACCTATCCTGTTCTACATGGCAGCTTTATAGGGACAGGTTTTTATTTGAAAGGCAACTGAAAAAAAATAAAAAAAAAACCCCAGTAACAGCCAAGATGTGGTGATGGTCCTTTGGCTTTCTTTAGCCATCTGTACATTTAGTAGACTGTGTCAATTCATCTCCTACAGGCTTAACAGCAGGGCTACCCCTGGGGTAGTGTTCTGGGCCTAAGGAAGAATGAATTAGGAACTTTTCTGGGTTTTTTGGGGGGGGGTGG